TTTAGAATTGTTTGTAGTGCTGGTTTGGTATTCATGAAGTTTCTTGGTGTTCTTTGTCATGGAAGTATTTTATTTCTCCATCCATTTTAAAAGAGACTTTTTCAGGGTACATCAGTCTAGGTTGGAGGTTTTTTTCTTTTAGGGCTTGAAGTACCTCACTCCATGCTCTTCTTGACCTGAGGGTTTGTGTTGAAAAGTCTGCTGTGATTCTGATGGGCTTTCCTTTGCACATGTTTTGTTTCTTTTCTCTAACTGCTTATGGTATTTTGTTGTTCTCTTGGGTTTCCAGGATCTGGACTATTATATGTCTAGGTGTAGATGATTTTTGTTTATAGCTAATTGGAGTCCTATATGCCTCGCTTATCTGTATGTCACAATCTTCCCCTCTGTTTGGAAGTTTTTTGTCATTAATTCTGTGAACAGCTTCTTTTTAAAAAGTCATTTGTATTTTCTCCTACTACTTCATGGATTCTTATTAGTCTTATGTTATTCTTCTTTGCACCATCTAGGAGTTGTTGGATCGATTTCTCATGGTTCCTTACTGTTTTTAAGAGATCTCTCTTTTCATGGTCATTGACTGCAATCATATCTTCTATACTGAAATTCTATCTTCGCATTTGTACATTCTGCTGTGAATGCTTTCAATAGTGTTTTTAATCTCCGATATCCTTTTGAAACTGTTTCATGGTTTCCATTTCTTTCCTATGTTGGGCATTCATGGTTTCCATTTCTTTCCTATGCTGAGCATTCATGGCTTTTATCATGGTCCTGAACTCCTCTATTTTTATTTTTTTGGCTGTTTTGGTTCTAAAGTCTCTAGTCATTGTGCTCACCATGTGTGTAGATATCTGTGAAATTATTTCTGGTTTGAATTTTTCTAGCGCCTGATTGATCTATTTTGTTACTTCCTATTCAGTGAGTTCAGGGTGTCCTGGTGGATGATTGTCAGACTTTCCCACCTCATTTCCCCTAGAGTTTGCCATTGGTGAACTGGAAGTCTGTATTTGTGCCTTGCTTAAGTGCTTTCTCATTTTTATTTTTGTTGTTGGGCTGTCCTTATTTTATTCCTGGGTTAGTACTTTGATCTTCCTGATATAGCTGGACTTTAGGTTTTGAGTTTCTAATGACTCAAAGACACTCTCATTGTCATAATATTGGGAATGACAATTGATTAAATCATTCACAACCCTTTAGCCCAGTTGATACAGTCAGCAACACAACAGCATCAAGCCCAGCTTAGAAATTGACCATTTGTGGTAGTTATTTATCTATCACCTTTAACCATGTAAATTAAATCAAAGTCAAGGACTAGCCAAAAACATGTTTATAGTGAATAAACTCTTCAATATAGCACCTTTGCCCATCAGGGTGGGGACTTAGAAGAAGTTTGGAGGAGAGGAATATGTAGATAAAAGAATATAAGAAGCTTGCAAATGAAGTCAGAGGACACAGGATGATCACACAAACTCTAGGAAACTGTTGAAGTCAAGAGGGAAAGACAGAGTGCAAGAACAAAGACAGGAATAGAAGAACTTAACAGTAAGAGGGAAGCTATAAATTTTACTCATTTTCCTTTGAAATTAATGACAATGGAGTGAAGGAAAAAGAGGGAAGAAAAGAAAAAGAAAGAAGTAATCCAACTAGGGCAGGAATAAAAAAGGGTGATGAATAACGTTTGGGATCAAGATATTGATTAGGAAAAAGAAGAAAGAAAAAAAGAAAGAATGAAGAATGGTAAAAATAACATTTAAAAATAAAAAATTAAAATTAAAAAGAAGAGGAAAAGAAAGGAAAAAAAAACTTGAAGAGCCCCTTTCAGGGTATGTCTTTATTCTTACAATAGACTCCATGGGCAGCGATGTGCAGAACTAAGTCGATCAGCTAGCCAGTGGCAGATCCCTGAGACTCAGGCTGAATTCTGACTCCTACATATTGACCTTTGTGAGGTTCTACTGCAGGTCCCAGCTGCCCTTCCCCTGAAGATAGTCCGAGTTCTGATGGAAGGTGGTGATTCCTCCAACTTACCAACTACGGAGGTCTGTACCTTCATTGCAGTTGTTCACTTCCATTCTATCTTCTGGAGCTTAGTACAATGGCCTTTATGACCACCTGTGCCTCTGCAGTGTGGATCCACGTACTGGAGGCCCGAGAGCATGTGTGTGTGTGTGTGGGGGGGATGTTGCAGAGGCACCCAAGCAGCTGGGCAGTCCTCAGTACTCTGCTCCCACAAAGACCAGGGGCTCTGGAGGTGGGGAAACAGGCAGCTCCCCGTGCAGCTCATTATTAGCATTTTTTAACTCATGGCTTTTAAGGTTGAATGAAAGCCACATGTAAACATGAAGGTCTAGTAATTTAAATGTTCTCGCAACAAGGAGATTAAATTAAAGAATGATTTAAAGTTATCTATAGATACTATGTGACTTGGTTACTTCGGATATTGGAAGAAGCACATGTAATGGATACTAATGTGTGGATTAAAAATTTAGACTACATATGCTACACAGTTAGGAAATGAAACTCCCCCAAGGTGTTTTATAAACATTTAGGGGAGAAGAGTGTGGAGCTCACCAATTTTTCTAACCTCTTTTCTCATTTTTCCTTCTGGGACCCCAAGGCTTTAGACATATGTAGCTGACTTGTTCTACCTACCTAGCATGCTCATTTTTCTCTTGTTATTTGTCTAAGCAGCAGAATGGTTGAAGATCATCTGCTTATGTGGCTGTTCAGTGTCAGTCAGCAATTTCACTGGGAATTTGTGTTTTCAGGGGGCTTTCTAATCATGTTGTAAATGTGGCTGCCTGCTATGACTGGGCATGAGACCCTTCAGTTCTGAAGCAATTAAAAATAAATAAAATTAGATAATATTTCAGAGAATTGTTTGTACCTACTCATTGAAAAGAGTGATTTAAAAAAATAATACCAACCTTCTTTTTGGATTAAAATTCATGCAATCAATACTTCAGAAAGTATCATTATTATAATTATCATTAGGTTCAGATGTAGGTTCTAATAACTTCAAAATTTATGAAAGAGATGCTAATCAAATTTTCAATATGAAAAGCAGTTATTTGTGTATTACCTGCTAACTGATCATAAAATTAAAGTATTTTAAATATATCACTTAGTATAGTTAGCATTCCATGATACATCGTCATTCACTTGATCAGAATTTTTCATATATATATAATTAATATTTCATATATATTTATATACAATTAATATTACTAGTGACATCCTCACAGTAATTGAAATAAATAATATCCAAACTTCAGAATTAGATGTCGTATTATTTTAAGTTGTTTCAAGTAACTAATTTTGTGGGATTAAGTACATGTAGCTTTAAAATGCTACAAAACAGCTATGACTTCATTGTTTTAGAACAGGATTTCTCAGTCTCTGGATAACTCTTTGTTGGGGAAGTTATTTTAACTTTTGTGGGATGTAAACGGCATCCTTGACTTCCGTACACTAGATATTAGGCAAACTCACAATTGTAATAGTCAGAAATGTCACACTTATTGGTAAATATCTTCCAAGGATGGAATCACCCTGGTTAGAAATAACTACTTTATAATATGCATTTTATATTGGAAATTATGTGTTGTATTGTCCTCCTCAAATGTTTAGCTTCTTACAATAAAAGTAAATTTATTCCAGATGTCTAAAAACACAGCAGATCAAAGGTTTTACTGGGTCAAATAATGAGGATCCAACTTATGATAGTGCCTTGCTTTTATAATTTGTTAGAGTGAATATTGACCAAATCAGTTGTAAGGAATAAAGTCAGTAACTCTGATGTATTAAGACTACATTTGCAGAATTGTTGCTTCCATGTTTTAGTGCCCAGATGGATTCCACTAATTCCCGGAAACAAAGTTATTGCTTAGTTAAATGTGGTTTCATCTCAAGAGTTACGTGGGAGTTATTTACAATATTGTATTGGTCTCCCAAAGTATGGCCACAACTTTTGTCCTGAAAGAACATACAATCTGGAAGAGACCATAAAAGCATAGGGAACTGCATGAGACGGATGTTAAGAGACAAATAGATAACTGGGTTTCACAAAAAACTAATGAAGCCTAAACACCTAAGCTCTTCACAGATACCTTCGGAAACCTAGTTTGTATTTGTACATTTTCCCCATATGAGTTCTGTTCATGTACATTTAACACCCCAGAGAATGGAATCTGTGCCTGAGCATGGTGTTTCCAGGGGCTGAGAAAAGGAGACTGTGAGGAGGCATAGATCACGAAGAGGGTTCTTGGAGGACCAACACACAGAGGTGTGTTCACTGCCTGTGTGGTTGCATTTGCAGGGGCAAACTGCATCTGGTCTTGTCCAGAAGGAAAAAAATCAAATATCAGGGAGCTAGACTGTGCTATTTGCTCTGCTTCCCAGACATTTATTGCTCTCCTCATCCATGGAGAGTTCATACCTTGTGTGACTGGAGCACCCTGTGTGATTTAAATGTGAGGGGGACTGTGGCACATAGGGCTGAAGATGAGATTTAGAAATATGATGTTGATGGCGATGATGATGATGATGGTGGTGGTGGTGGTGGTGGTGGTGGTGGTGAAGACAAAGTAATGCTCACTGGTGCTGGGGATCTGATTAAATGGCAGGCTCCTCCTGCTGGGGAGTAAAGGGAGGTGAGTCCTCTGGTGAAGAGGTCAAGGAGAGCTGCTGGAGGTGCACATTGAGTAGAAGTGGGAAGAGAAAGAGAAAACATGTGGGCAGGGGTCATTGTCAAGGTCATGGGGTGAGGGGCCACCAAGGTCAAGCTCAGGTTGTCTGGTGTCTTACCACAGCCAGTGTGATGTCTGTGTCACATGCAGGGTTGCGTGGTCTCAAGGAGTTCTGCTTATTCTCCCAAACCTACCTCTCTGTGGTGTGACTTTCAGAATGCTCCACCATGGCTCTGCAATCTCTGAGGTGCTTCAGTTAGAATTTGATCAAGTTCTTCTCTCTCACTATTTATTTTTTATTTTATTTTTTTGTAGCCCCAAGAGATCCTCGGTTTTACTCTTGCCCGATTTACAAGAAGCCAGTTCGAACGGACTTGAACTACGTCGCTGCTGTGGACCTCAGGACCGTCCAGGCCCCAGAACACTGGGTGCTCCGTGGGGTTGCCCTTCTTTGTGACGTCAAGTGATGTAGGAATGTACCACATGTAATGACCTGGAAAATGCAAGGTCCAAGTTATTACTATCTTTATTTCTCTATGAGTGCTGAACAGTGTGTAAGTAGGTTGCTTGTGCAATTAACGAGTAGCATAGGTTGCTTCTATATAGTCGTAGGTTTCCAACTATTTAGTTGGCTGTTCAATCTCATTTTACCTGTTTCATCATCAGCGAGCAAACAGCTGGGAAAGTTATTAGTGATTTAAAAGTAAAACTTACAATCTCCTAATGAAGTATGGCCTTCAAACTGCAGTCGCTCCTTTCCTTCTTCATTCTGAAGATCAGTTAGGTTGAGTGCATCTTTTTTCTTGAAGGGATTATTCTGTGAATGTGGGTCTGGTAATACCTAGGTTCCCCAAGGTACTGTGCTGTTAATGCAAGGTAAAGGAAAGTTTGTGCTGATTTTGCTTTTATTGTCTTTTGCATTTAAGTCAAGTTGAGATTTATTTTCAAGGCTTCAATATATCTATTAAAAAGACTTTTTGAAGAATGGAAAGAAATAGAAGAAAGAGTTAAGGATGTAAATGGAACATTCCTATAAACTGTAGAATAAACAGAATAATGATTAACCCTAGTTATGATTAATATTGAGGTACTAAATGATATAGTAAAAGTAACTGAAAGAGAATCATAGTACAGTATCTATAAAAATGCTACAGTTAATTTGTGAGAATTGTGACACATCAATCATAATACCAAATAATGAAAATGTGGACTTGATACAAATTAATAAAAGGTTGTTTGTAAATGCCTGAATTGTAGTTGTTGTTTATGGGGGATAACTGCCATGAAGTATTCAGAAAAAAGCATATGAAATTGGACTTTTACTGAACACTTGGAAAAGGTGTAATTCATATGATTTTGTGACACATACCTGTTAATAAGGATGTGCAAGTCTCAGAGACCCAAAGTAGAAAAGGACACCATGGAAACAACTAGACACTTTTAAGAATGAATCAAGCCCAGAATGTGTCTGAAACAGTGACGATCCTGTGAAGCGTCTTCCTTTTTATTGTAATTTTAATTTTATTTTTAAAAGTTTTATCGGTATATATTTGAAGTGTGTATACTGATTGTGTTCGTCATGGGGCATTAGTACAGGTACATAATAAGGGGATACATTGTATCCTCTTCCAATCTTCTCCCTTCCGCTCCTTCCATCTCTTGATAACCTTTCCCTTTTGCAAAACATCCATCTCCCTCTTTCTTATTATCTATCCTTTATCGTGTTCTTTACTTTCGAGTTTCTCATATAAGAGAAATGATGTGATATTTCTGCCCAGTGTCCTTGCCCTCGCCCTGGCTGGCCCCATTGAAAGGTGCTCAGCATTCAGGTGGAGGAGCTGCAGCCAGGTGGACAGGGAAAAGCAATCAGCCGAATCTGCCACATGCTGCAAAATCATCTACCTTGGGTGCAGCAAAGACAGCAACATGAGGTGTGGGACTTTTGCAGAGTGACAGAGCAGTCTTTTCCATGTACCTCAATACTCATTATTAAAAATATTTACTTTACACCTGTGTGTCAGGCAGTCTCCTGGTTCAGTGGTGAGAAGAACATTGCCACAATGCCTGATCTCATGACATTCACCTAGCAGGAGTAGATGCCGAAAATAAGCGATTATCCAGGTACTTAGTTGTATATTCTTTCAGTTTGTGAATGTATGACATGGCATACTTGAGATAGATATAAAATGATATCAAGCTGTGATTAAGTGCTATTAGGGAAAAGCTTTGGTTCCATGAGTGAGAAATAACAGGGGAGACATTGGTATTCCAGTTACGTGATTTTGAGCAGACAGAAGTTACCCCACCATGTCCCTTTTTATTTGTATTTGGTCTATCTAGCTAACTATCTTCTATCATCTATGATCTACTTGTTTATCCATATCATCATCATCATCATCATCATCATCATCATCATCATCATCATCATCATCATCATCATCATCATCATCATCATCATCATTTTTTTCTCTGTGCTGGGAATCAGTCCCACGGCCTTGTGCATGCTGGGAAAGCACTCTGTCACTGAGATACATCCCATCCTCTCATTTCTTAAATCCAAAGACATGAAATTTGACAACGATGAAGTATTTCCCTGAGTGGTAGCAGCTAGCACGCATGCTGCGTATTCTTGCCTGGCCTTTCCTTTCAAGAACTGAGGTCAATAGGGAAGTCTTGCCTCATTGTAAATGGCCCATTTATGCATACAGCACATCTCACGTTTTCCTACAGAAACTCACCTCAGCCTTCTCTGAGCTTCCTTTTCAGGAATGTTAGCACACAGTGAACCAGCTCAGTATCAGCAAGGATATGGCCCCATCAGGGGACTGAGCAGAGCCAAGTCCTGGTGTTCCTGAGCAGCTCCTTTACCCTAGATGCTGTTTGCCTGCAGAGGTATGATTTGATTGCGGCATAAGGGAAGATAGCTTTGAGGAGGTCACCTCTAAATTTAAACCCGGGGAACAGGGGGAGGCATCTCAGGCCCACCTCTCCTGGGACCTCACCTCTTGCTCCCTTAAGGGAGAAATGGAGCACTGGGCTTGGAAGAAGAGTGATGGGAAAACCTGACCTGGAGCAGAGGGCAAGGTGCATGCCTTCTCAATATCATGTCACACCTTCCTATGACAGCAGACAAGACAGGGTAGCGGCTGATGGAAGTCAGGTTTCGAAGTCATCACTTTGAGGAGTGCTTGAGGCTATTTGCAATGGAAAATCTCAGGGTAATGAACTCAATATCAAGACGTGGTGAGACAACCACCATTTTTATAGTTACGTAGCTTGCATGGTTTTCAGGAAAAAATGAAAATATCGAGACTAGGTAGGAAGAAAGGGACAAGAGGATGGAAAGAAGTATCCTGCATGGGGTACAGTAGCGGCTGGGATAGAGCTTCAAGTTTCTTTTCCTTTATTCACTGTTAGAATTTGCTTAGTAACTATAACCCTGGCAGAACAAGACAGTGACTTGATCTCAAAATTCATCAAGTGAGCCTTCTAAAATGCATTCCTTATCCTCTGGATTTCAAAAATTCATTATGAAATGACACCATTATGAACTAAGATGATTTTAATATCTTGAAGGATTCAGTCTGAAGTCATAAAAATTCTATCTGTTCCTCGTTAGAAACATCCAGAAAACCACTGTGAATTTGTTTAATGAATATGTTTTCTATGCTGTCTTTGTACCTTCTCTGATTTAGGACTCCATTTAATTTTCCAAGGCTCTAGATTTATAGGCTTGCTTAATTGTTTCCAAGTTGGAACTTATGTTGGTGGGTGCAAAACCAAGCTTGGGAGCCTTGTCCTCTTTAATTTGCATGCCAAATTGTGTTTCCCATTGGAAAATACATTTTTGCTCCTTGCTATGTGTCTTGAGAGTAGAGCAAATGCATATTGTGCAGTGTGGTGCTATGCCCTGTTCTAGTGATGTTTTATGACGACCATAATACCTTTCCTCGTTTATTTCTTAATTTAGGTTAATAGGCATAACATTCATATCAGGTGTGATCAAAGGCAGACTTGCCAGGAAAGCCAATTGAATTTTCCCTAATACTTTGTACAGGAGTCAGTTTTAATAAGGCCACATAGAGTGTTCACTCTGCATGGCTGAGAAGGGAGAAAGAGTAATGTGATGAAGGACACTAAAGAGACTACCTAAAAAGTTGCAGAATGGAGAGGCTAGTGAAAGGTGGTGAATCAAAACCCGAGTTTGTAGCTGATATTGAACACGTCTCCTTACTGCCAAGAATGGTTTAAAATTCACCCCTGAGCTTCAATTGATCAGTGCAGTCAGCTATGATGTATCCATTTATAATTTATTTATGCAAATACTTTAAGCAAATCCCAAGAGACCTTAGAAAAAGACCTTCTGAAACATCTTTATGTTTTACTGTTTGAAAAGTATTTGCATGTAACAGTGAAACTTTTTGCTCTTTGAACAGTAAAAATATTTTTCAGTGTTTCGGGAATGTAACAAACTGCTATTGTTCATATTTTATGTCCTGTGATACATTATACCACAGATACCAAAGATTTATGTGATATAAATGAAGGGCATTTTAAAGATGACCACTGTAAATTGAACCCTATTCTTAGAAAATGAAAAATCTTCTAGATATTTTGCTCAGAAACATTGACCATTAGCTGGAGAAAATAATTAATGTATACCTCTATTTTGTCTTTGGTCTGCTTTGGTTTATTTTTATTTGTCATTTGTTTTCCCTAACCTATTTTCCCTGGGCTATAAGTCTACCAGGAGTCTTCTGCGGTAAAATATCAGAATATGCTATTTAATCCATAATGGATATCATATAAGGATGGGTGATTCAATGGTAAATTGGGAGTGAGTGTAGAATACTAAGAGAACTTTTCTAAGTTGATGCTAGAAGTATGAATTGCCAGTCTGAAAACAGGGGGGTGATTCTGTATGTACCATTATGAACCATGAGCATGTTATATTCAAAGACATTGAGGCAACAGCAAGTTATAAAGGCAAAATGAGAACAGGCATCTGGTGGGAAGATGTCTTTGCAGAAGTATGTATAAGTAGTATAAGGTTGTATAAGGTTAGGTTGGACAAATATAAAGCTAAGGTTTTATTAGATCTTTTTGTGCTAGTTACTATCAAGCAACCAGAGATGAGAATAATTTTTTCATAAACTTTCAGCTTTGTTGTTGTTAAGGTCAATGCAAGTGACTTTATTTTAGTTCTAATTAACTTGCATAGAATTATGCAACAAATTTTGCTTGTGTAAACAAAATTACTTATTTTGATTTCTATTAACATAGACATGTTTGCGTTTAGATATAAGCATAATGGTGATAAAACAAAACATGTTTTAAAATCAGTGAAGTGGCTTGTGGAAATAAATTAACTAGTTTATTAGAGGAAAAATTAAATTCCTATCTTATAATATATGAGGAGTTGGTCTTAGGTGAGTGGTAAAAAACTGTGGGGTATAATTGGCAATTAAATAGAACATGGCAATACAATTTGATGCCAACTTCTCCATAATTTATAGCAATATACCTCATGGGAAACATACCGCACCAGAGGCTTGTACAAAGTCTATGATAGCACACATTTGTAACTTAGTGCATTGACATCCACCAAGTTATACTGGGACATCGTCTGTGGGGCCTTGCTGTGGAGGAGTAGTCTACTATAAGCTTCAGAATTAAGTGATCTGCAGGATGGCAGATAAATACCAGGGCAGTTTGCAGGATTATACTTACTGGGACAAGCCCTTGCCAAATCGTGAAATTCTCACCTTTCATGTTTGCATAGACCTTTTCCTTTACCTCTTTGCCATTTTCAGCTGCCTCCTGGGCCCCCAGCTGATTGAACTGCTAGTGTATTAAGTTGAGAATCTCTTGGAAAATATGACTTTGCTTACTCTGTCTTATTGGCCTAGACTCTACCTCTGTACTTCAGGAAAAAGAATTTTCACAGAAGCATATATGTAATACTGGGGGGAAGTTAATAGGTTGTCTTCTAAATTTAATCCATATCTTATAAGAATGAAAGCATCTCTCATATGAAACCACCACTGAAGCTGCAGATTAAACTCATTTGTCCTAATTGAGCAGTTATTAATAATATTTTGCTATAAATGAGAAGTGTAGAAATGCCCAAACTCACTGGTACCCCAGAACAATACCTGTCAACCAGAAATCTCCTTGTCTAATCAGTCATTCTGTTTGGTCTCATTATTTGGGTTCCCAATGTGCTCATAAAGGTTCTGTTAACTCTGAGCACTTTTATACATAATTGCGACACTAATCATATGTACAGCGGCTGCTCTGTAACTAAATGTTCATGGGTAAAAGACACTTAGAGCTCTAGGATAATACTGAAGCTCTTTTCACACTTCTATCTCAAGCCCTTACTGCTCCTTTGAGGGTTTTTTTTTCCCTACATCTATCATCTACTTGACCAGTTCTAATCACCTGATGGTGGTTTCTATCCTCTAGCAATGGAGGGAATTCTTATCCCCCACACCAGTTCAGCTGGTTAGGAAATGGTCACACATCAGGAGGCAAATATCAGATAGAGCAACTGAAGCTTTGTCTCTTTTTACAGCTGCTGCCACCTGAGCTTTACCTCCTGTCAGATCAGTGGCAGCATTAGAGTCTCATAGGAATGCAAACCTTACTGTGAACTGCACAAGCAAAATGTCTACATTGTATGCTCCATAAGAGAATCTAATGCACCCTGAGCTGAGGTGGAGCTGAGGCAGTGATGCTAACACTGTGGAGCAGCTGCAGATACATTCCCATTAGCAGAGGGGTCTGACTGCAAATATCTGTAATATGCTTGAATCACCCTGAAACCTTCTCCTCATTGCCTGTCCTGATCAGTGGAAAAACTGTTCTCTACAAAACTGGTCCCTAGAGCCAAAATCTGAGGACTACTAGTCCTGGAGTACACAGGAAAAGGCTCCCAAGTATCCACATAGATAAACTTCCTTCTTTTCTCAGAGTTATTTCTGATCAATTATGTTTTTGACTACTGTGATATGGAGAGGTAGTAAGGCAACTTGAGAAAGAAGAACATTTAGAACCCACAGACTAACTCATTCTATCACTCACTACCTATGTGAATTTGGGAATGCTGATTACTGTTTCTAAGGCATCATTTCCTTATTGGCAAAATTTACTACACCATGTTTTTGAAGTAGTGATGAACAATAGAATCAAATAATACAAATGTCCCAGGGGCCAGTGTTTTATCTCAGTGGTTCTTCCTTCTGCCTCACAAATGAAAGGTCCCGAGTTCAATCCCTGGTGCCCCCAAAGCAGGTGGGGTGGGGCTCAGGATGAAGGAATGCTCAGCCAGGGCATATTCCTTTCTCCCTACCCCTTAAAGGTCAATTGGTGTGGTAGAGAGAGCATGGGATGTCCTCATCAGGTGTGATGACATGCCTTTAGAGGGAGCCTGATGGCCAGCAGTGCTATGGTCAGAATGTTGCAACATTCATACATTGAAACCTAGTCCCCAGTGCGATGGAGTCTGGAGATGGGGTTTTTGGAGTGTGGGCCATGAAAGCAGAACCTGTGTGAATCAGATTAGTAAGCGAATCACAGAGGCTTAGAAGAGAGTCCTTGTCTCTTTTGCCATGTGAGGGCACAGAGAGAAGTTGAATGTCATGAGCGAAGAAGTGAACACTCATCAGACAGCAAGTCTTGATCTTGAATTTCCCAGCCTGCGGAGCTTGAGCAATAAATGTTACTTCATTTAAGCCAACCAGTCTGTGGTGCTTGGTTATAACAGCCAGAGTGGACAAAGCCAACTAGGCAGAGTCTTTCTACTTCTCCCTGTATGCTCTAAACCTAGTTTTATCTCCACCAGCGCCTTTGTCTCCTTTGCATTTAGAAGGTAACTAATGTCCTGGGGT